GACTGACCTCATTAAAATCAAGACGGGAAGCACTGCACCAGCCAGCACGGTGCAGGCCACACAGAGTGTAACAGGTTTGTGGAAGCTAAGCTCTCCTCAGAGATTTTAAGAAGATACAGTCCTCTGGAATAGTCACCTTTCTTTGGGATCTTAGGAACCTCTTCCAGCCTCTGATTTCTTTGGGGAAACCTAACCAGGACCATGCTGGATCATCTACTTGGTGCTGTTCTGTCTTGAAACACGAGGCATCCTTGACTGTCCTTAGCTGGATTCCGCGCTCCTGTCTGTCACTGATCTGTCAGATATCTGTTCACAGAGGCTCTAAGTGCTTGTTTCTCTGTTTCTTCAGCAACACTTCTATTCCTTGGCATCTGATCGTGGTGCCCACTCTTACTGCAGTTGTGTGTCCTGACCTTGTCTATCCACATGCTGTTAAAATTGGGTCATGCCCTGTTTTCTGCTGTAATCTATCAGATTGGTTTGTACCCAGACCAGAAATCAGCTTTTTTTTTTTTTTTTTTTTGAATTCTAGTGCCAGCTAATTGGAATGTCCTGTGACTATCTGAATCTCAGTAATTTCAAAACGAAACTCATTTTTGGCTTCTGCAGAGAGGGAAGGTGACGCTGGAGCCGGGTCTTGGAGGGATAGCAGGAGTTGGCCAGGTGGAGGGGAGGGTTGTTAAGGAGGTAGGGTATGTTCAGAAGTGTGGCAGGAGGTGCAGATCAGACTGCGCCTGTTTATGTACAAGTGGAAAGGGAGAAGCCGGTATTCGTGGATATTTAACACTTCTTATGTTTCGGCCTTGTCTCTTACAGGTGTCCTTCTTCACATCATTATGGAATCATCCGTTCTTCACCATCAGCTGTATCACTTTAATAGGCTTATTCTTTGCTGGCATACATAAGAGAGTAGTTGCACCATCAATGTATCCTTTCCCACAGATTGGGTTTTATTCTTTGAATGAAATTAGAGCACCGTCTCTATAATCGTTAGAAGCTGACCCTTGAAATGAGAAGTTTTCTTTGACCACATTCATTCAGTATAGCTGCTCGATGTCGAACGGTATTAGCAGAGTACAACATGTCTTGTGATGATGTAAGTATTTTTTTTATTAGAAAATTGTAGACCTGCGTGAAAGGACCAAATATTTGGCATTACAAAAGTAGATGTGAATAATGTTTAGTCTGTGGAAACAGTAGTGGGACTGTACTTCATAACATGGATTCTAAGATAATTTTTGTATATTTTAACATCTCTGCAATCGAGCTGTGTCTAACAATCCATGGTTTTTCACTAATCTGCAGAATTGACAATTTAATCTTTCTTGGTGACAGGAACTCATGCTGCATTATATGATTGGAGCCATCCTAGAGTCAGTAAAAGAATGATGATTGTTTTTGGCCAGAACTGGCTCAGTGGATGTTGGTTTTATAAGCTGCTGTCTGTCTAATGTTGTTCTGTGTGTGCTATTTGTAAATGGAAGCATGGATTAACTTTTGGACTGGACATATGACCCGTGTTTTCAAAAGTAGATTATCTACCAGTGTGTTCTAAGTGTCTCACAAGTTTGATTAGTACCTTCTATTTTATTTATAAAAGTATTCTTACTTTTAACCTTGAAAACCATTAAACAAGTCGTACCTATTCATTATAGGAAATTAAAATGTAGGATTAGAGCAGGAAGAGGTCCGGGTCAGTGGTCGAGAATGTAGACCAGACACGTAAACTTTTCTACATTAGAGGCTGAGGGTGGTATTCATGTCAGCGAGAGGAAGACGCTCCTTGCTGGTGTTGGGGCGATTGGCTTTTCATTTGGAGAAAAGTTAGATCTCTGCCTCTCATCAATTAAAAAAAAAAAACGATGGGGCAGGTATGGTGGCACAGGGGGCTGCACTGCCAGCTGGCGTGCCTGCATCCTCTGTCGGCATGGCAGTTTTCCACTCCTGACCCAGCTTCCTGTTAACGACTGCACCTGGGAAGCAGCAGCTTCGGGGTTCCTGCCACCACACGAGAGAGCCAGACGTTCTTGGCTGCTGGCTTCAGCCTGTTCCAGCCCCAGCTATTGTGCCCATTTGGGGAGTGAACCAGTGGGTGGAAGATCGATCAGTCTCAGTCTCTCTTTGGCTCTGGTACTTTGCCTTTCAAAGACTGCATATAAAATAAACTGTAATATACACATCCCACTGTGAAAGCACTAGAAGGAAATATAAATAGTCTTGGGATAGAATTAAACCCATTTACAACATAAAGCAATGCCATATTGGAAAAAGTTGGATACATTTGATTATACAAAAATTTAAAACGTATGCATAGCAAAAGGCAAGAAATTAAGCAATGATTAGAAGAAAGAATTTGTAAGCTATATCGTAGAAGCTGGTATCCAGACTATTTAAAGGCCTGTTAAAAATAAGAAAAACACAAACCACCTACAGAAAAGTTGGGGGGAAAGTACAGTTTACCACAGTAATTAAAATAAACATAGAAAGACTGGATGACCTCACCCGTAATCAGGGAAATGCAAAGTAAAGCACTGAGTTTCCATTTGCTTTACCTTTTGGATTGGCAAAAGTAAATGCTTTGGTAACTCCAGGATTGTTAAATGGGTACACCCATAAACCGCTGTAGGAGATACAAGTTGGTACGGCCATTTTGAGAACAGTTTTCAGTTGTGTGTGTGTGTGTGTGTGTGTGTGTGTTTTGTTTTGTTTTGTTTTGTTTTGTTTTGTTTTTTTTGACAGAGTGGATAGTGAGAGAGACAGAGAGAAAGGTCTTCCTTTGCCGTTGGTTCACCCTCCAATGGCCACCGCGGCTGGCGTGCTGTGGCCGGCGCACCGCGCTGATCCGATGGCAGGAGCCAGGAGCCAGGTGCTTTTCCTGGTCTCCCATGGGGTGCAGGGCCCAAGCACTTGGGCCATCCTCCACTGCACTCCCTGGCCACAGCAAAGATCTGGCCTGGAAGAGGGGCAACCGGGACAGAATCCGGCGCCCCGACCGGGACTAGAACCCGGTGTGCCGGCGCCGCAAGGCGGAGGATTAGCCTAGTGAGCCGGGGCACCGGCCATTTTTTTTTTTTTTTTTAAGATTCATTTGTTTATTTAAAAGAGTTACAGAGAGAGGAAGAGTCAGAGGGAGAGAGATCTTCTATCTGTTGGTTCGTTCCCTAGACGGCTGCAATAACCAGGGCTGGGCCAGGCTGAAGCCGGGAGCCAGGAACTTCATCCAGATCTCCCATGTGGGTGGCAGGGCCCAAACACTTGGGCCATCTGCTGCTGCTTTTTCTAGGCCATTAGCAGGGAGCTGGATTAGAAGTGGAACAGCTGGGACACGAACTGGTGCTCATGTGGGATGCCAGCATCACAGACAGTGGCTCTACCCACTGCTGCCTTGTGACGTAACCATTCTGCTTCTGCCCTTTTAAGGGGGATTGGGAGGAGACCACCACACAGGCCTAGAAGGGGGCAAGTGTAAGGTTGCAGTAGTAAGAAAATGGAAAGTCAAGTTTCTCAGCAGGAGAGTGGTAAAACAGACTGAGGTGCAACCGTAATTTAGAAACCCAGAAGTCACTGCGTGTAAATTTACAGACGTTTGGCCAAGACTTTTAAATTTTTGTTGTTGCTGAGAGGCAGAGAGACAAGAGACAGAGCCCTCACCTGCTGGTTCATGCCCCAAATGTTTGTGACAGCCGGGGACTAGGGATGGGCCAGGCTGAAGCCAGGAACCCAGAACTCAATCCAGGTCTCCCGTACGGCTGTCAAGAACCCAACTATTTTGAGCCACCCCCTGCTGCCTCGCAGAGTCTGCATTAGCGGGAAGCTGGAGTCAGGGGAAGAGCCAGGACTAGAATCGAGGCACTATGATGATCAGAAAAATGGCTACCACAAGTGGAGGCTTACCCACTGGGCTGAGCCTGCCCAGCTCCTGGCCATTCTTGGTTCATTTTGACCCCTGCCCACAGTTCTCTGCTGTCGGACTATTTGAATAAATCCCAATTGATAATCTGCAAATATTTCAGCATATTAGACATCAGATTTTTATTGTTACATATCTGAATGTAAATGCACAGATAATTATCTAGAATAATTTACGTTAAAACTAATTTATTCTGTAGTTTGAGGTGGGTGGAAAGGATCTGTATCCTGAGTTTTTTATGATGTCATTGTATTATGTTTTATTAGTGTAACTAGAAAGATTTGTTTTTAACTTTGAGAAGATTTATTTATTTGAAAGTAAGAGTCACAGAGAGGGTGAAAGAAAGAGAAGTCTTCCATCTGCTGCTTCATTCTCCAAGTGGCCACAGTAGCCCAGGTGGGCCAGACTGAAAGCAGGAGCCTGGAACTTCTTCCAGGTCTCCCACGTGGGTGCAGGGGTCCAGGCACCTGGCCCATGTTTCGCTGCTTTTCCCAGGCGCATTAACAGGGAGCTGAAATCGGAAGTGGAGCAGCTGGGACTCGAACCAGCACCCATATGGGATACTGGCTTCACAGGCAACGGTTTAGACCACTACATGCAATGCTGGCCTCAGAAAGATTTAAAATAAATTAAACCATGGATAAGCAAATAGTGATATATTCTTATGATACAATACTGCTATCAGTTATAAAAAGGTACAGGGGCTGGCATTCTGGCAGACCGGTTAAAGCTGCTTCCTGCAATCCCGGCATCCCACTGGGCGCATTTCTATCCCAGCTACTACACTTCCTATCCAACTCCCTGCTAATGGCCTGGGAAAAGCAGCAGCAGATGGCCCAAGTCCTTGGACCCCTGCTCCCACATGAGAGACCTGGAAGAAGCTCCTGGCTCCTGGCTTTGGCCTGGCCTTTGTGGCCATCTGGGGAGTGAACCAGCAGATGGAAGATTCTCTCTCTTCTTTCTCTCTGTCTCCTCCTCTCTAACATTGTCTTTCAAACAAAAAAGTAAATCTTTCTGTCTATAAAAGGGTTTATATTAGTGAAACATGCAGTAATGTGATGAAATTCAGACACATTGAATGAAGCAGGTGTAAAAGAAGACAGCACTGATGATTCTGTTTATTTAAAGATCAAAGACAAAGCCAATCTAGAATAGGTGGTTATAGGTGGTCAGAGAGTGGGGGTCCTGTTGACTGGAGCATGGAGGAATTCTGGGAGTGAATTGCTGTATAGCTTGATCAGGGTGATGGCTCACGAGTGCATGTTTGCCAAAACTCACACAAGTCTTGAGCATCTGGTATAGAAATTGTACCTTAATGAAACCGGAAAAATGAATATATCTGGGAATTACTGAAAGTTAAATGTCCAAAGTTTAAATGAAAGTTAGAATGGAATGGTAACTAGAATACCAGCAGTACTTTTGACCCGAGGAGAAAAACATTAATTAATAAAACCTCCTGGAATCTCACCAAACAGAATCACTGTGTTTTGTAATTTGTTGTGTGTTCTCATTGACCTTTCACAAAAAGAAGCTGTTAAAGAGTGTTTCAAATTTGCTTCTTTGACCCAACAGTGGGACTTACAAGCTGCCACTTATGGATACCACAACAAATACAAGGGACTTTGTCTACTGGATCCCTGGCATTCACACAGGATCTGGCTTATAGTAGGCACTGAATAAATGCATTAATAACATTTCTACCTAGTTTCCTTCTGATAAATTCCTATAAGTGCAATTGTTTGGATTGTGGGCTATGCACATACTGTTATTCTGTATAACTATGACTCATGTTTACACAAAGTTATACCAATATGTACTAAATATACTTGCCGTGTGTGAGTGTCCATTGCTCTAACCGTCGGTTTACTTGTTAACTTGCGGAAATTAAAGCTTTTGTATGTTGGACAGGAGAAATGCTTGATCAGGTGCATCTAGATGTGTATTTCTGTGTTGTAAAGCCTGTTTGGTAAGGGATAGAGCTGTATAGGGTGGGATTTTGTTTTATTTGGTGCATTGTCGGATTTCTAGGTAGCCAGTGGACAGGGAATTCAAATAAAGGCACGTGTGTGTTTTCAGGTAATAAATCAGAAGAATGGGCCACACAAAGGAAACTTTGGGAGCATAGCTGTTTAACCTTGACTGAGTATGAAGTATTCTGATTCCCCGCAAATACCCTTTAAATCTTACAAATCAGCGGCGGTGTTTGTAATAGAATTGTGTATTGACGTTTTTCCCTCCTTTTTACAGACAGGAAAGCTAATTTTGAAACCTAGGCCTCATGTTCAATGACAATCTGCACTCGTTGTTATGGGACTTAAAACAGCCTTTCTTCAACCAAGTGATGCAGCAACAAGCCATAAAGGACTCCTGTACGGTTGGCTGTGTGAAGGCCACAGCAGCGACTGGCGAGAAGTGTGCAATATGTGCCCAGAGTCTCTGGAGGATGCTGGTGACGCGCGCTGTCAGTGCTCGGTACCTTGGATCACCTGTGTTTCAGTGTTAGTGTCACTTTAGTACTTCAGACCCTGCGAAGGTTTTTGCAGATGAAGTATGTATGTGTGTTACTAAGTTAAGCTTAGAACCAGAACCTCATTCAGTTTTTATAATGTATTTTTGCAAACTACTGTAAATAGCAAATCAATGCCAATGTTCAACAAAGAGGAGACTGCTGTGTGGACTGTGTTCTCCTGCACCAGTATTTCAGGAACATCTGCTTGCCACCCACAGCTCTTTCAAGCCGGCTATTATGTGTGCCTTCCATTCTTACACTTCTCTTTCGACCCAACTGCAGGAAAAACATCAGATTCAGCTTAGGCTGAGGGAAACGCATCTCCATTATGTCCGAAGAAATTATAGACGTTGCAAGAAGCAAATTTTGTTAAACCAGATATTGAATCCTGCAACTATTGTGGTTATATTTTTTAGTTCATTGTTTTCTTTGAAATGCTAAATGTACTTTATATTTTTTAATTTTAAGACCATCCCAAAGGCTTCTGAATATACAGGTTTAGTTACCAATTATGTGTTGTCTGAGAATTTGATCGTCACTGTTCTCGGTAGTTGGGTTTTTTGCTGTGACCCTAGTGTTGCCCAGGTGTGACTGATTGTCCTGCTCCCTCACCAGGATGACATGGGGGTGGTGCCACAAACTGGAGTCTACAATTCTCACTGTTTAGAGAGTGTTAATGACATACTGTGTATGCATAATAGCCACGTGTACTATAATAGCCCTTAAAATTAAACTATTGGGATTGCTGTAAATATTTTAAAGTACTGGAGGTGCCTTTTACCTGTTTATTAGAAGATTTTGAAAAGGTTTAAATTATTTCATGAGCAATCTTTTAAATTTCATTTAATGTAAAGCTGAAAATTCAATAATAGGACAAAAACTTTTTAACAAGGCTGCCATCTAACCTATATGTGTTCATGTTGGCTTTCTCGTGTATAAAATTTTATTCTTTGAATTGCAGCAATAAACCCTCTGCTCCTAAGAAGTCTTAAGAGGGTATTCTATATATTCTGCTATGTTTTATTTTCTGTAAATTTTGTAGGTAAATATGTGCATAAAAATAAATACTTTATATATAACTATGGATTGAGCTTTTTCATTGTTTTCTTGTAAGTCTGTAACTCTTAAGTATTTATTCAGACATCCTGCGCAAGTCAGGTGCTGGCTGCTTCTGAGACTGGCTTTGTCCAGTAGAGCAAGCCGTGAGTAGCAATGGTAGACAGTCTCATTTATTAGGCTTTGATTACTTTTAGTATGTCTTACTCATCACACTCCAATAACACTTAGCTCTTAATCAGGAAATGTGGGTTTTCTCAAGTTGTTCTTTATGAACTCGAGTTGCTACGTTTCCTGCAAGAGTATAAAGCTGAAGAGAGATTTTATAGTTCCTTCATCTTCTTGGGGGTCATGAACCGTGAGTGTTTAATTAAAGCCAACAGTCTGCGCCCAGAAAAGTCATACCTGTGCACAGACGTTTAAGACTTTCAGAAAGTTTTTGGAGGGACAGGAATTTAGCCTAGTGGTTAGGCTCTTGGTTGGGACACTCATGTCCACATAGGAGTTACCTGGGTTTGATCCCTGTCTGTACTTCCTGATTCTAACTTCCTCCTGGGCCATAGCCTGGGAGGCGGTGGCGGTGGCTCCAGGGGTTCTGTTACTGCCACCCGTGTGGGAGACCTGCATGGTGTTCAGGCTCCTGCCTTTTGCCGCTGTTTACCCCCTTGGCCATTGCAGGCGTTTGAGGAATGGACCAGTGGATAGAAGCTCTGTGTGTGTGTGTGTATATCTGTTTCTCAAATAAGTGAATAAAAAGTATTTTTAGGGACATACATATTCCCTAAATATATTTATGGAATAAAAAGTATTTTAGGTATGGTCTGGTAAATCAGCTGCTGTGTCGACACTGGAATCCCATGCTGGAGGGCCAGTTCTAGTCAAGATCAAACAACAGCTGTGCTCTCGAAGTGCCCTTTATGTGGCCCATTCTTCTGAATTATTTATTACTTTAAAACACACTGCTAGTGTGTGAGGAGGGGGGAAGAGGATGGCCCAAGTGCTTGGGCCTCTGCCACCCACATGGGAACCCAAATGAAGCTCCTGGCTTCAGCCTGGCCTAGCCATGGCTTTTGGGGCCACTTAAGGAGTGAACCAGCGGATGGCAGTTCACTCTCTAATTCTGCTTTTCAGATAAATAAATCTTTAAAAAAAATTAAATCTTACATTTTGAGTCAATATCATCAGAAAGATGTTTTCCCTTGCTATTTAAAGCAGCAACAAAAATTATTATGGAATACCTTAAATATGTGTAGAAGAGAGAATAGCACAGTGTACCCCAGGTGCCTGTCACCCAGCTTCAACAATGGTCAGCACACAGCCAGACTTGTTTCTCATGTGTGTTTTGCTTACTTCCTCACCCCCGGAAAACATGATTTTGAAGTAAATCCCAGAACATTTTATCATTTAATCTAGAAATATCTCAGTAAATACCTTAAAAGATAAGGACTCCCAGGACAGGCAATGTGGGACAGTGAGTTCAACCAAGTCCTGGCTGCTCTGCTTCTCATCCAGCTCCCTGCTAATGCACCTGAGAAAGCAGCGGAAGATGGCCCATGTGCTTGGGCCCTGCCACCCACCTTGGAAACCCAGATGGAGTTCCTGGCTCCTGGCTTCAGCCTTGTCCACCCCCAGCCATTGCAGCCACTGGGGAAGTGAACCAGCAGACAGAAGATCTGTGTCTCCCTCTGTCTCTCCTTCTCTCTGTCACTCTGTCTTCAAGTAAATAAATCTAAAAAAGATAAGGAGTCCTTAATACAACCACAAGACCACAACACACCTTAAACAATTGCATGCCATCATCCAGCTCAAGCTTTCCTGTCATTAATGTCTCCTTTACAGTTGGCTGAATGAAGATTCAGATAAACTTGAAGGGAGGCAGTTTGGGAAACCACAGCCTTTACCTCTGAATTACATCTCATTACATTCGTGAACTTACGGGTAGGGAAGACTCGCCCCGTAAATGATGTACAATGGCTTCTGCCAACAGCCCGCAGCATTAGCAGGGCAAGCATCACAACCATCTCTTCATGCACTAACAGCGCCCAGGAGATGGGGACTCCCCCCACACCTGCCACCATCGACGTCCAGGGCGGCGTCCTCCGAGAGCACCAGGCCACGTGCAAGCTGGAGGATGGAGGAACTTCAGGAAGAAATTGTAATGAGTGCATTGGAAAGTAGACAAAGGCGTTGGACAATGGAGAAAAATCATGAAAGATTGATGAGAGAACCAGGATAACCATAAGGGCCATCACTAACGCCAAGAAAAATGAAGGGTTGTACAAGAGAGGAACTGTGCTTGAGTGGACTTCTCAGTCCCACGGTGAGTAGTGCTTGCATTGTCCTGCTAATGCTGATTTAGTCAAGGTGTCCAGGACTGCCTTGTTGGAGGAAGGAAAAATGCAGAGAGGGAATTGGAGAGAGAAGGCCTTACCTTCCAGGCCAGCAGAACAAGAGCTTACAGGATGCCAACAAGTTAGCAAGAGTGACAGGTTATTGGGGCTGGGGTTGTGTCATAGTGGGTAAAGCCACTGCCTGTGATGCAGGTGCCCATTTGTGTCCCGGCTGCTCCACTTCCTATCCAGCTCCCTGCTAATGGTCTGGGAAAAACAGTGGAAGATGGCCCAAGTGCTTGGGCTCCTGCACCCACGTGGGAGACCTGGAAGAAACTCCTGGCTCCTGGCTAGGTCCTGGCCCTTGTGGCCACTTGGGGAGAGAACCAGTAGATGGAAGATATTCTCTCTCTCTCTTTCTCTCTCTCTCCGGACAGAACTCCACGCACTCGTTTACTTCCTGAATGCCCACAATGGCCAGGACAAGGATGGGCTGGGCTGAAGGTAGGAGCTGGGAACTCAATCCAGGTCTCCCATCAGGATGCAGGAACCCAATTACGTAGTCATCACCACTGCCTCCTAGGGTCTGCACTAGTAGAAGCTGGAGTCAGGAGCCAGAGCCAAGAATTGAACCCAGGCATTCTGGGGTGGCCAAGAGCACATTAACCAGTAGGCCAAAACCCACTCTGTAAGATGGCGTAGTTTATTCTACAAGTGGAGAAACAGTAGAGCCTTCCTCTGCTTACATTTGGTCACTCTGTTTTTGTTTTTTGTTTTTTAACATTTATTTATTTATTTGAAAGGCAGAGTGACAGAGAGGCAAAGGCGGGAGCGGGGCAGGGGGTCTTCAATCTGCTGGTTCACTCCCCAAATGGCTGTGGGGAGCAACTCGGACTAGACTGTTACTGGAATTAAGACTTATTCTATGCATCTGCTCTCCCACAATATGGCGCTGGGAGAGGAGTAAACAGCTTCTACGCAGCTGCCTCCATTCAACCAATAAACTGTAGGACCTGCTCCCAATTGGAGGAGAGCAGTGTACTCGGCGTGTGGGTAGCAGAGTTGGGATTGGTGGAGAGGACTATAAAGGAGGAGAGAGACAACATGCACGAGGAACATCTATCTGAAGGAACACCTGTGCAGCCCCCGAGAGAGCCGGCCGGCGGTGTGCCGCTCCCCCGCGGAAGTGGGGAAAGTGGCAGGGGGAACCGCCCTTCCACGGAGGTGGAAGGGACGGTAGCCAACCCGGGAAGAACCAGCAGCAAACCCGAGGAGGGCCGAGCAGACAAAAGAACAGCGCAGGGTCCTGTGTCGTTCCTCCACAAAGAGGGGGAGCGACAAATGGCTACAATAGGCAGAGCTGGACCAACCCAAAGCCAGGAGTTTCTTCTGGGTCTCACACATGGGTGCAGGGGCCCAAGGATTTGGGCCATCTTCCACTGCTTTCCCAGGCCATCGGCAGGGAGCTGGATCGGAAGTGGAGCAGCCTGGACTTGAACTGGCGTCATATGGGATGCCAGCACTGCAGGCAGAGGCTTTACCCGATATACCACAGCACTGACCCCCATGTGGCCACTGCTAATTCCCTCCCTTTCCCTGACGTTGATTTCCTCAACTGACCAGCTCTTAGGAGCAGGAGGCAGTGGATCGCAGTTATCGCAAACCGCAATCTGACTGTAAGGTTGAGTCCTGTCTGCCACTCACAGATCAGGGACTCTTAGGCAAGGAGCTTCACTTCCCTGTGCCTTGTTTTCCTCATCTCTCCTTTTTTTTTTTTTTAAGATCTATTTTTCATTTATTTGAAAGGCAGAATTACAAAGAAAGGAGGAGAGAGAGAGAAGGAGAGAGAGATCTTCCATCCGTTAGTTCACTCCTCAAATGGCCAAAACAGCTGAGGCTGAAGCCAGGAGTCCAGAACTTCATCTGGGTCTTCCGCATGGGTGCAGGGGCCCAAGCACTTGGGCCACCTTCTACTGCTTTCCCAGGACACAGCAGCAGGGAGCTGTACTGGAAGTGGAGCAGCTGGGGCTCCAGCTGGCAACCATCTGGGATGCCAGCATTGCAGGTGCAGACCTAACCTGCTGCACCACACCAGCCCCTCCTCACGTCTCACCTGGGGATACTTGACATGGCGCGGGGTTGTCGGTGAGCTCAGTAGCTTGGTACAGCAAAGCCCTTGGAGCAACATGGGACACTCAGCAAGGGATCAATAAACACCATGTCAGTAGGACGCTTTCTAGTGTCGTGCTCCTGAACTGGGGAACGGATCAAAACAGGGGTAAGTTCTGTGGGCTTTTAAAAAACCTCAGCTTTATTGAGGTGAATTTGCATACAATATAATGCTCCCCTTATAACTGTACAGTTTGAAGAGTTTTAATAAATACAGTGTCCGTTCAACAATCACACAAGCAAGCTGCAGAACATCTCCATCCCAGAAGGCTCCTTGGTCAAACCCCATGCCCATGGCCTGGGCTGGGCAGCTACAGCCCCCATCTATCACTAGAGATTAGATCTGTCACTTCCTTTTAAAATGTAGTTATTTATCTGAGCCAGGGAGGGGGAGAGACACAGCTCCCATCTCTTGGTTCACCCCCGAAATGCTCACAATGGCTGAGGCTAAGTTAGGATTGAGGAACTCAATCCACTTCCCACGTGAGTGGCAGGAACTCAGTCACTTGAGCCACTCCAGGGTCTAGCATCAAGAGCTGAATGTGTAGGGGTCGGCGCCGTGGCTCACTTGGTTAATCCTCCACCTCCGGTGCTGGCATCCCATATGGGCACCAGATTCTAGTCCCGGTTGCTCCTCTTCCAGTCTGGCTCTCTTCTATGGCCCGGGAGGGCAGTGGAGGATGGCCCAAGTGCTTGGGCCCTGCACCCGCATGGGAGACCAGGATAAGTACCTGGCTCCTGCCTTCGGATCGGTGCCGGTCATGTGCAGCGCCAGCCGTGGTGGCCATTTGGGGGGTGAACCAACGGAAGGAAGACCTTTCTCTCGGTCTCTCTCTCTCTCTCACTGTCTAAAAAGAAAAAAAAAATTGTCCTGACTGTTGATGAACAACTTAATACTTTATCCTCTTTAGTATTTTTTTTGTCCTACTTAATACTATTGGTAGTTAACACACAATTATTCTTAGGTGTTTAAATTTAACTGAAAAGTGATCTGTTAAATATAAGAGTGGGAATAAGAGAGGGAGGAGATGTACAGTTTGGGACATGCTCAATCTGACTTGCCCCAAACGGTAGAGTTATAAACGTGCCAGGGGATTCTAATTCAATCCCATCAAGGTGGCATGTACCAATGCCATCTCACTAGTCCAAGTGATCAATTTCAGTTCACAATTGATCATAATGATAGGTCTAAGAGTCAAAGGCAGCACATAAACAAGTCTAGTACCTGCTAATACTAACTGATAGAATTAAGAAGGAGAGAACGATCCAACATGGGAAGCAAGATACACAGCAGACTCATAGAATGGCGGATGTCCTAAACAGCACTCTGGCCTCAGAATCAGCCCTTAAGGCATGTAGATCCGGCTGAAAAGCCCATGAGAGTATTTCAGGCGTGGAAAGCCAAGACACTCTGTCAAATAGAAAAAAAAAAAACACTAAATGAAAGATCTCTGCGAGTGAGATCCCAGTGGAAAGAACGGGTCATCAAAGAAGGAGGTACCTTTCTCTGAAGTGAGGAGAGAACTTCCACTTTGACTATGACCTTGTTTAAATAAGATTGGAATTGGAGAACTCAAAGGCTTCCATAGCCTTGGCAACTCATGACAAGAGCCTAGGGTGCTTACTGACACCATAAACAAGAGTGTCAATTTGTTAAGTCAACAATAGGAGTCACTGTGCACTTACTCCTCATGTAGAATCTCTGTCCTTAATGTGTTGTACAATGTGAATAAATACTATAACTAGTACTCAAACAGTACTTTACACTTTGTGTTTCTGTGTGGGTGCAAACTGTTGAAATCTTTACTTAAAAGTATATATACTAAATTGATCTTCTGTATATAAAGAGAATTGAAAATGAATCTTGATGCAAATGGAATGGGAGAGGGAGCAGGAGATGGGAGGGGTGCGGGTGGGAGGGAAGGTATGGGGGGGACCATTGTAACCCATAAACTGTACTTTGGAAATTTATATTTATTAAATAAAAGTTAAAAATGAAGTAAAAAAAAACAAATAAGAATTTTAAAATAGAAAAAAATTAAAAAAAAAAAGAGCTGGATGTGGGGTGCCGACATTGTGGCAAAGCAGGTAAAAGCTGCTGCCTGCAGTGCTGGCATCCCATATGGGCACCGGTTTGTATCCAGGCTGCTCCACTTCTGATTCAGCTCCTTGCTAATGGCCTGGAAAAAGCAGTGGAAAATGGCCCAAGTGTTTAGGCCCCACCCA